GCAGCATTTTGTAATTTTCCTTGTAGAAGTCTTTCACCTTCTTGATTAGATATATTCAATTATATATATTAGATATATATAATTCCTAAGTATTTTATTTTATTTTTTGTCGCTATTGTAAAAGGGGTTGAGTTCTTGATTTGATTCTCAGCTTGGTAACTGTTGGTGATAGCAGAGCTACTGATTTGTGTACATTAATTTTGTATCCTGAAACTTTGCTAAATTCATTTATTAGTTCCAAAAGCTTTTTGGAGGAGTCTTTAGGGTTTTCTATGTATACAATCATATCATTAGCAAATAGCAACAGTCTGACTTCCTCTTTACTGTTTTGGATGCCCTTTATTTCTTTCTCTTGTCTGATTGCTCTGGCTAGGACTTCCAGTACGATGTTGAATAGAACTGGTGAGAGTGAGCATCCTTGTCTTGTTCCAGTTCTCAGGAGGAGATGCTTTCAACCTTTCCCATTCAGTTTTATGTTGTTTATGGGTTTTCATAGATGGCTTTTATTGAGTTAAGGTATTCATGTCCATAGCCCACTTTTTGCTGAGGGTTTTTAATCATAAAAGGATGATGAATTTTGTCAAATTATTTTTCTGCATCTATTGAGATGAAGATCTTTCTTATTGTTCAATGTCATTGCTTACCACTATGAACTTCCCTCTTAATACTGCTTTGGCTGAAGCAAAATGATATGGTGTGTTTCCATTTTCACTTGTCTTCAGATATTTTCTAGTTATCCTTTTGATTTCTTTTTTGTCCCATGAGTTGTCAAGAGGATGCTGTTGTTAGCATATTTGTAAATTCCCAGGGTTTTTTTTTTCCTATTAGTTTCTAGCTTTATTCCATTGTGGTTGGAAAAGGTATTTAATATAACTTCAATCTTCTCAAATTTGTTAAGACTTGTTCTGTGATCTCACATGTAACATATCTTGGAGAATAGGTACTTTCTTGTCAGCTTTTATATTCAGGCAGCACAGAAACAAGTCTCTTCGGCAGCCCTTCAAAAAGTCAGAATGTTAGATATACAGTCCAGGCCTCTCCTTTCTTCCCCAGGGAGAAGCTGGGAAATGGCAGTTTCTATCCAGTCATGTGGTGCTGTGCCAGGGGGAAGAATTATAGGGAGAGAGTGTGATGAATAGTTAATTTAAACCATCTTTAATGCAGCTGGGTTTGTGCTTGCCCAGGATGCAGGAGCCTCTCAACTGATTTTTGGATATCTCAAAAAGGAAATTGTTATTTAATCAGTGTTTCACTGGAAAAGGGAGGGTCGAGGGTTTTATTTTCTGCCATGTTTCTGACCTCACTCATCTAATAAGCATATATTTTATTTAAACATTCCAATTATCACTGTATTTATTTTTAGTTGAAAATTATATAATAATTTTATTGTATATGCTATCTCATAGTCTGCTGTTGTACTTGCAGTAAAATGAGTTCCTTGATTAGTGATGTATAAGGTGGGGGACAGAAGCTGAAATCACATATTTTTTTCCCCAACGCCCCTAATAGTGTTGGAGACATTGATTCAGTTACCTGGTATGCATATTCAAATCTTGAATGAGTAACCCTTTGGTCAAGACCCATAAGTATATACCTAAAGTCATGAGCAATAAATCAATGTATTCCATTTGCCAGCTATGAGCTTGCCTGGATTTTCCCAATAGATAATGCATACTTGCTTTTAGCCCCTGAAGTTAATCTTAAAAGCAGAAAAATTATTAATCAATTTTTGAGCATCTGAGCATCCAGTGGGATGCAGCTTTTTGTTGTTGTTGTTAATTCATTGTTACCTCTGTGACTAATCATTTTGCATGCTAAAGAGCACACAGGATAACTACTTGTTGCTCTCTGTACCATTCTGAATTCAAAATTTGTTGTTCTTGTTTTACTTTTTAATGAGCAGCAGCCTACTGTACCTTGTTTCCTTCACAAGTCCATAAAGATTTTCAGAGCATTTCACTACACTGGGATTTCTCTTATCCTCTAGTCATTTAAGGACCACTTTGTGGACTGTATCGCTACTCCATTGGCCAATGCCTAAGAATTGGTATAAATCCATACTATGTTATTTTTATTGTCTGGTTCCATCAGAAATATAGCTCTTAATTCTATCTATTAAGTGAAATTATCTTTTCCTTTTTCATAAAAAGGGCAACAATCAGCAAAGTGCAATGCAGTTGACTTCCAGATTAAGTGTTAACTCTACCCTGGACTCTACTATCTGTGGGCTATGCTGCTTCTGAGGCAGCCTCAAGTAACATTCTAGTCCAGATTCCATGACTGCTTAATGTTGTTCAAAGCATTATTTAAATTCAGCTTTTTCTCTTGTATTGTGAATAAGGGCTAATAAAATGTACAGATGTGGTATGTGATTTCTTCAGAAACCAGTCCTTGTGACTCATTTTAATTTTGGAGCTAAACAGACAAAAATTCATTATGTTGGTTGAAGAATGGTAATATTTCTATCCCATGAAATTACTAGAAATTTTAACAGTTATGCTTGACCCTATACTCTAGTTGGGTTAGTTGACTACTCCCTGGTGGTCATACAGTTAACATTTGGAAATCATGCTTAGCTTGACATCCAGATTTATATATCAACATTATATTATTGATGCAATGAATATCAGTAGTTTAGATGGAATCAAATCAGTGTTTCTTATCACCAGGTTGTAGCTATAAAGAAGATACTTTAAATATTCCCATATTGAGCACAAAAAAGGTATTGGAGGCTATTTCAATGAATGCACATTTGATTTTTACTTTCTTTCAAAATAGAATTCTAAAAGGAAGTGCTGGTCAAATTGATCATAGAATATCAATCTCCCTTAGTTTGCTGCATAACTTGTATTTTTTATACCATATATAACATGAATGATAAAATTCCATGACTCTTTGCTCAGTTCTCTAGTCTTGAGTTATTTTCTAGGATCCATCAGCTTTCCTTACATGAGATACTGTACTATTAAGCAAATAATTCGAGGATACTAATTTATCTTTATCTAACATACCTTTAATCAGAACTAAACTTTCTTGATGTTCTTACTCTACTTCCTTTCCTGGTATCCCATTAGGTTGGTACAAAAGTTATTGTTTTGCCATTCCTTTTTTTTTTTTTTTCCGTTTTGAGACAGAATCTTACTCTGAGCTCCAGGCTGGAGTGCAGTGGCCTGATTTCGGCTCACTGCAACCTCCGCCTCCTGGGTTCAAGGGATTCCTCTGCCTCAGCCTCCTGAGTAGTCGAGATTGCAGGCATGCACCACCATACCTGGCTAATTTTTTTTTTTTTTAGACGCAGTTTCGCTCTTGTTACCCAGGCTGGAGTGCAATGGCGCGATCTCAGCTCACCGCAACCTCCGCTTCCTGGGTTCAAGCAATTCTGCCTCAGCCTCCCAAGTAGCTGGGACTACAGGTGTGCGCCACCATGCCCAGCTAATTTTTGTATTTTTAGTAGAGACGGGGTTTCACCTTGTTGACCTGGATGGTCTCGATCTCTTGACCTCGTGATCCACCTGCCTCAGCCTCCCAAAGTTCTGGGATTATAGGCATGAGCCATTGCTCCAGGCCCTAATTTTTTATATTTTATAGTAGAGACACAATTTCACCATGTTGTCCAGGCTGGTTTTGAACTCCTGGCCTCAGGTAATCTGTCCACCTCAGCTCCCAAAATGCTGGGATTACAGGTGTGAGCCACTGTGCCCAGCTGCCATGACTCTTAACAGCAACTGCAGTAGCTTTTGCACCAACCTAATATATTACTTTATATTAAAGACTTGACTGGATTTATGTAGTTCTAAAGGTACCATCTAACATGCCCAATTAAAAGAGAATGAATAGCAGATTTGTATGACATCTCTGTTTCCACTGGTTTGGGTAAGACAAGAATCTCATAGTCATACATCATATTCATTTCAGTAATATGTTCTGGTAGGAGTTATGCAACAAACTTACATAACTTTCATTCATTAATTCCTATTCTGAACCATATTTTTACTTTAGAATATTTTACCATGTTCTGCTAAATTAACTACATTGTCTTTTACTTTTTAATTGGCAGGCTTAGGTATATTCTGATTTTGTGCATCAATGTCTAGGAATTCCAATATGTTATTTTACTACCTTGCATACCAGTGCAAATGGGCTTAGATACTATTATGGAATAAATATTTTCCCCTTCAAATTTACATGTCGAAGTCCTAACCCACAGTGCAACAGTATTTGGAGGTAGGGCCTTTGGAATATGATTAGGTTTAAATGAGGACATGAGGGTGGGGCTCCCATGATGGGATTCATGTCCTTATTGGAAGAGGAAGATGGATCAGACCTTTTATTCCCTTTGTTTTTTTCCTCTCTCTGTCTCTGTCAAGCCACCGCTTGAGGATATAGCAAGAAGGTAGCTATCTGCAAGCCAGAAGAGAGCCCTCACCAGGGAAGCACGTTGGGCAGCACCTTGATCTTAACCTTCTGTTCTCCAGATGTGTGAGAAATAAATGTCTATTGTTTGAGCCCCTAGTCCATATTTTGGCCCCTAGACCGTATTTTGTTATGGTCGCCTGAGCTGACTGTTTGCCTGCTTTGAAATTGCACCAACAGTCCCTGACTATTTTGTCATTCCGAATAATCCTCTTTTTAAACACCTGCTCTTTTAAACAACACTGCCTTGGAAGAGACTGCAGATTCTGTTTTTATGTCATCATTAGATTTTTTAAATTCATCAAGGCAAGGATAAATGGAAGAGTTGGTAAAGCGGCCTGATCATATAATCTCTTATAATGATCCATTAAAATTTTAGTAGCCACTCCATGTAGCCCCTCCTTTTCTGTATCTTTTAAAATTAATCATGTGATTATATTCTACCCAGTTTAAATATCTCTAGTTTCTTTTTTAAAACGCATTTTATCCTTTTTTCTTTCTTTCTTCTGCATAATCCTGATTTTTCCCCTATCATTTAGCCCTACTTATGGAATCTGAATCAGGAGGTCAATGACAGCTTCCCTTACATAATCCCGCTCATCCATTTGTAGAGTAACATAAGGAGCCCAAGCATCTGGAAACTCTTTAATTATAACATCAATCACCACTTGAGTCAAAGGCATGAAATTAGGGGGTAATTCAGTATCATCATATAACCAATCCAGAGTCACTGGTATTTTCAACATTTCAGAGGCTTTAGAAGGATTATTTTATTTAGTATCTAATTTTTCATTTATACTTATTTTATGTACTTTGCCTTTATCCACCTCTACAGATTGCAAGTTTGACTTTCTAACACATCACTGTGAAAACTGTAACTAATTGAGAATTCTGAATAAGACCAATATACTCTTCCATTGATCAGTATATAATGCAAGGAAAGTACCTCCTTGGATCTGAATGCATAAACATAATTTTAGCAAAGGCTTCCCAGGAAGCTGTTTATATAACAGTCCACAAATGACTTAGGTCTTTGACTGAATACCCAGATCATGTGTCGTTGGTTTCCTCACCCTGCAGCCTGTATACTCTTTTTAGTGATCCTCATTCAGACTGTCACATTTTGAGCAAAGTAAATATCTTCCCAATTCCCTTTTGGCACCCTTTCCCTTCTCTTTAGAATCACCAGCCATTATTTGGTTTACTTGGCAGCCTCAGTTTTTTCTGTTACTTTCAGTTTTTTCAAAGTGGCAAAATTACAAAATTCTTGGCTGACTTCCCCTCTGTCTGAATTTCTTTCTTAATCCATGTAGCTATTTCTGTTGGTTCAGAATCTACCACCTCCAGGTTCCATTGACATGCTTTTATTTTCATCAGTGGTTGCAGCATTTGCCTGACTCAAGCCAGAAGTGACCCAGGAGTCAGACTATCATCAAAAGCTCATCATCTCCCACTCCTCATCTTTCTTTTCCTCAAACAAAGTCTTAGCCAACATTTACAATTAGAGAGAAAGGTCATTTCAATACTCTTATTACTGTGCCAATTGTATCAATTACAGGGTCAGAGAACTATTTTAAAGGGACTCCACAAGGTATACTTAAATTAGGCTTTAATAAAGGTAAAGGGTATGGTATCGCAGGAAAAAGACAACACAGAAAAACATTGGAGAGCTTTAAGCTTCCCAGACAGTCTCCATGGTCTTTCTCAATTTTACAGAATGTGCTTTGTCATTAGATCATGATTCACCAAGGTATGTATGAGATATGTTGGTCTTAGGGCTGCCAAGCACAAGTTTCCTAAGAAATCTTTATACTCAACTAGTCAATAGCTAGAATCAGGCTGTGTAACTAGCTCAAGCAGGTGCAGATCATCAACCTACATTCTCAAGGAACAGTGTAGGTAACTTGATAGTGAGTGCCACTAGAAAAGTTTCAGAATGCAAACTGCACAGTATAAATCCTTAGGTAGCACATTTTATCCCATTACTGGCCAAGGGTCAATATCATAGTTCCAGGCAAATTTGGAGATAAACACAGAGTTACAATTTGCTTAGACCAGCTTCAAGTTCACCTTATCTGTACACAATATTTCTTTACAGATTTTAGTTTTCCATGGAGTTGATATTTGATTCCTTTTTTACTGCTTGGCTTCCTGTTGTATCATTACCTTAGTTTGTTTCCTGTTACCTGTCCTCCTCTCTTTCCATCTTGTTTGGAGACAAATATTTTTTTTTCCAGGGTTAACTCATCCATCTTCATTGTTTATTCCTCTCTCCCATTCCCTCTCATTCATTTCATAATTAAATATTGTGTTTGCCCAAAGGAGGTCAGTATATGAAAAAAAGTAAACATGGAAACATAAATTACTGAATTGGGGGTAATTCAATATCATCATATAACCAATAATGGCTGTCAGTAATAGGAGAAAATTGTGTCTTGGTTTATAGTGAAGAACAAATTAAGAGGGTTTTCAATTCTACCTGCTGATTCAAGAAAAGTTTTATGTAAAAATGGGCACTTGAAGGGTCAGTTGGAGTGAAGGATAAATAGGTTCTCTAAGAACAGATATGTAGTATACTGATTTAATAAATAGAAAGCCACTGAAAGACTTTTAGTTAGAGAATAAAGTGGTCACTTAGAATATTCTGGCAGTGGTTGGGTAATGGATTGGAGTTAGGAAAGACTGGAAGCAGTAAGTTTGTTATAGTCGAGGTCTCTGTTGCTGCATTGTTCATGTACCTTATGCTCCCCCTAAATCATTAAATTACACCAGTAGGCACCTATATTTACTTAGCTGTAAACTCAGTGCTGTATTTTCAGCACTCATCCTTTGGATGCAGTTGACACTGTTGGTCCTTATGCCCCTTTTGAAACTGCCTTCCTTTGGCTGACAGGCTACTATTTGTTGAAGAAGAATCATTATCTGGATTCCTGGAGAGTTAGAGGCAGAAATCATGATCAGATATCCCTGAGCACTGACTATACTTTCTCCACCCCATGATGATACAGCCTTCCTGATGCTGAATTTGGTTCAAGATCCAGTGTGCCTGGTGTTGAAAATAGTGCTTTAAACAGAAGTGCAGATTATGAGAATAGTTTCTTCCTGGAAACAAGTAGAAAACCAAGTAAGATAGCCAAATGGTGTCTGTTTTCTAAATTTTGACAGAAGTTGCAATTGAAGAGGCTAAACAGCATTTAGGTGTGTTTATTGCATGTGCAGCAGATTTCAGTATTCTTGGTTAAATAAATGTGAAAAGCACATGTTATGATTATGGGGATTACATTTCTTGGTGATGGCAAGGGAATGTATGGTAGCGGCATTGTGGGATTGCTCCTAGACAATTTGTAACTCTCCTGAAGTACTTTACTCTCCCTCCTGGGTCTCCTCTTTTTGCCTATTTGATGTGTTTTCGGTGGCCATGCCTATTGTTGTAGACTACAGCCAAGTGACGCAGATGGCCTGAACTCTCAACACAACTCCTTTGTCACCCTTCACCATGTCTTTCTCCTTCTATGAAACACTCCAATGATCTACTCCATTTATTTTTAGTAGGAGCAGATTTTCTACTTTCATTCTGGGATAATGAAGCCACACTGAGACCTCATAAAGGCAGAGCCAGAATACTACTTCCTCATTCTGAACTTCTGCTCAATTAATCCCTAAAACCTATCAATGATGCCAGTCAACAGCTTGTCTCTCATGTGGATTTTGAGCAGTTAACTCTTTTGGGGTTCTTTCTTTAACATTAGGGACAGTGGTTAAGTGGGTCTCAAAGGACCTCTCTGTATTCTGTTTAGCAAAGATAAACAGAAAGCTAAAGAAATAAACAAAAGAAGTAATTGAGAACAGCATTTATATCGTTTTGACAAACTTGAAAGTGCCATTACCCATGTTTTCATAAAGGGAAATAGGAGGAAACTGCTGAGTAAAACCAAGAGTTGACTTTCTTATGAGATTCTTGGTGTTAATAAGCTACATTCACTCTACAGGGAAGCATTCAATATCCATCATGCATTTAAGGCTTTGAAAATTGTGATCTAAAAAGAAGAGTTCTTGCTTTTTTTCTTTTTAGAGTGATGATGATGATGATGATGATGATGATGATAATGATGCTGGTAATAGTTGTTCAGATAACACATGCCTTAACACAGGAGAAGATAGGGTGCTAGAAATAATGATAATGTGCATTCAGAAAGTAACCATATATTCAAAAGTATTTTAAAGACAGATGTACAGAAACCAAGAAAAAAACTATGTGAGATTAAATTCTAGTCAAACTTAAATTGTTTCACTGCTTGAAAATGATACAGGATTCTGAACTAATATTTTGGAGGTTCCACTTCTTGAAAATATATTAGGATTCTGAACAAATATTTGGGAGGTTCCACTGTTTGAGAAGACATTAGGATTCTGAACTGATGTTTGAGAGATTTCTAAAAAAGAATATAGCAATTTGATTTCTACAAAATGAATGTTTACAGATCATGAAAGAAGACCATGTGAACAGGATTTGTGGAAGCAATGACTACAGTTTGAAGGTACTAAGCCCTGTGTTGCTGAAGAATTTTTGCCAAAACAAGCTCACAATAGTTCACAGAAGACAGTAATATTATTATGAGAAACAGCACATAATTCATTAAAATATAAAGTGAAATTATGTTTAATAAATGTCTATATTATTTTGGAAATGGCATACCTTTTAAAGTCAGGAATTCGAGTTTCTGCTTTATTAGTTAAATGTATGAGGTGCTGGAAGATTCTCAGATCTCAATTATTACAAATCTAAAATGGGTTATAAAATTACTTTCACAAGTCTCTGTAAAAATTGATTAAAATTAAATGTATGCCAGTGCATTTTTGTAAACTGTAAAGCACAATATGATTGCTACTTTTTAATACTGCTTTTAAATTTGTGAATGACATCATATTTACTATCATATCAGGACATTAATTGAGAGTAGGTTATCTTAAACTGGTTTAAGTTAAAGAAGTCTAGACACAACAGATTTAAATTCTCAAATGATACTTTCCAATTTCTTAACTATTCTTTCTTCTTTATTGATTTCATCCTCAGGAAAGTTTATCCCAACTATTTTCAAAGATGAAATTAGCAATCTCTAGAGAAAAAAAGCTTCTTTTCCCAAAGAATTTCAGCCTGAGTATTGAGTTTTATCTTGAGCTGTGTGAATACATCTACAAATGTATTACTGTGACTAGTGTTCCAATTACTCTTACTGAGTGAGTCTTGGTCAAGTATTCATGCTAGAACTTGGAGGGTAGATTTAGTCCTATTTAATTCCCAAAGAACAATTTAGTAAGGTGTAGTTTGTTTCCTGCTGCTATAACAAAATACCATAGACTGAGTAATTTATACGTAAGAGAGATTTATTTGCCTCATGGTTCTGGAAGCTAGGAATTCCAAGACTGAGAGGTCATAACTGGTGAAGTCTTTCTTGCTGCATCATAGCATAGCAGAAGGCAAACACGGTCAGAGAGCACATGACAGACAGATAGAAAAAAGGGAGTCAGGCTCTCATATCCCACTCCCACATAATGGCATTAATTCATTCATGAGTGCAGAGCCCTCATGACCTAATGCCTCTTAGAGTTCCCACATCTTAAGACTATCACAATGACAGTTAACATTTCAACCTGAGTTTTAAGGGAACATTTTAAAACCATAGGCGAAAGGCAGGCAAAATAGTAGATTATGCTACACCCATGCCATTGTCATCTTTTAATAATG